GGCGGCGCCGGGCTGCAGACCTGGCCTTATTTGCCGGGAGGAGAGGGCGGGTGGAGCCGCTGGCCGGGGGCCGCAGCCCCTCCTCCTAGTTTTAAGAAGAACCGAAGCATTGTTTCTGCCCTAATAGAAGTCCCTCTTGGCTGCTAGCTGGAGACGACGGCGGTGGGCGGCCGCACTCCTTTCCAGCTCTTGCTTTGTGCTATTGAGGGAAGGAGCACTGAAGAAAACCTAAGCTTGTGCTAACCCACAACCATACGCTTCTCGGGCCCCTCTCCAGTCCGTTGCCGATTCTTTGTGGCTACTTGAAATCATTTCAAAAACGTTTTGAAAGAATATGATAAATCAAGCTATTAAACATTTGGCTTTCATAGGTATAAAACATGCGTTTTGAGTCAAATGTGGGTCTTTCTGGTACTAAAAACAAGTAGGAAATGAGAAAAAAATTAAAACCAGAAGACTTCAGGAAGGTGACAAATTGGAAAGCATTCTGAGACTCGGGAGCATTTTAGTGAAAGAAGCACTCTGCGAGCTTTAAGAGCTTATGATCAGTTTATAAAAGGATCTTGGGCTCAAAGGATTCGGGGTGGGGGGCAGAAAAGACCCATCTATTTAAAAGACTACCTTATCCTTGAATGGGTGATAGTCTGTCTCCTTCCTTTTCTCTCCCATTCCTCTTTCCTTCCCCTCCCTCCTCTTCCTTCCTCTACTCTTCCCTCCTCTCATCTCTTCCTCTCCCCCACATTTGTAAATGAATTTGCCTTAAATTCTTTTGTGAATGAATTTTAGAGGATTTCTCAGGGTTCCCAGTTAGAGAAAGCCTTCTACACAACTTGAAAGGCTGATGTCCCTCTCAGGAAATGAATGAGTCGATAACCTCTGACACCAGTGACCAAACCAGTGAACCTTACCTTAATTCCACTAATACTGGAGGCCCCCAATCAGGCAGGACTGTGAGTCTCTAAACTGTATGGTCCAGTGTGATTCCAGTTATGGTATTTCAGTTTTCATCTATGTGTTGGTAGGTTTGACTTTCATCAAATGTAACAATAAGCAAGAATTCAGGATCCACCTACCTATTGTTTCTGATTAATAATTTAAAATGTTTGCTAATGAAAAACGAGCCAAATGTTGATAAACCAATGATGTTGATGTTTAACGAAACTAAACTCTACTGGTCTGCAAGTTTTCTTTTACCTAAATAGTTGCACTTCACCTCAATTCATAAGAACAATTATTCGGAGTATTTTGTCTGATGCCATGTAAAGACTTTAATTATTTAAAATGTAAAACACTGCATAACTTATTTTAAATTAGTTTTCCAATTTTACACTGCATAATGTTTAGCCTATACTCCCAGTGTTAAAAGTTACTTCACTTTAAGTCAGTGTCCTCAGTGTAACAGTAATAATCTATTTCTACTGTTAAAACAGTGGTTAGTAAATGTTTCATCAGTAAACAATTTCTTAGTATTTTGAGCTTTTTAAAACTTGCAAAATCACTTGGATTTTTA